GTAATCCTTTGCATATGTATATTCCCACTTTTATTTCAAATCTTTAAAGAGAATTATAGACAGTAGAGTTATGATAAGTGAAGTACAATTGATTTGTTAGTTTTCTTGCAGACCTCGGTCGGTTCCATAATACTAATCTATGTAGCAACAGACGTTTCATAAAAAGTACGTATTTTAACATGCGATTCACAGTGCAATTCTTGTGCTTCAAAGCCAGCAGTAGTTCCTATTAGGTCATAACACTGTCAAGACATATTTGCAATCACAGGTTATTCACGTTTTTGTTAACCGCTTTCGGGTGCCGGAAGGTAAAGGAAGTTAAACACAATACTTTCAGAAATATATTAGATAACTAACACAGAAATATTTTTTTCAACCATATTGACGTAACAATGACGTAATGTGCACGACGACGTAACAAGATACGCCGTCCATGTGAAAAATCTCAGTGTTGACAAACGGCATAAAAAAACAAAACAAAAAAACTTTAAGATTCCAATATACTTTCAATTCAGAATCGCGAGTTTGATGTCAATGTAAAGAGGGATAATCGAGTAACGTTGCAAAGGCTCCGTGACATATGTTTTCTCGTGTAAGGCGAAGAGAGCTCGAGGTGTAGGCACCGAATATTTTTTTAATATTTTCTTTCAATTTAAGATGAATTAAAGACCAATTTCGCCTTGAATGTTTTGCAGTTAGTGCTGGGCGGTGATTGTTCAAGGTCTCAAGATGCGGAGATAAGATATTAATCGCAGTATCTACGGGTTTGGACTGTTAAATAATAAGCTATGTTGGGAGTAAAGCGTATTATTCTTGTATTATAACGATGACATAATATTTTTTTTACGAGAAAATGGGTCCCTACAAGATACAGCGGCTGGTCTACATCATTGGATTTTTGGTGAGTTTTCTGTAGTTAAGAAATGACATTTGAGTGTTGAGAAAGATTTTTAGCTCTGAAATGGAGATCAAGTTCATCATTCACTCATAGAATTATTTATTTTGTAATATACTATGGTTTATATGTTTAATACTATTTGGTCATTTTTGGGAAGGACTGTTTGTATTTGCTAAATATCCTAATCAGTTGATTGATATTATCCAAAAGCCGTAATTCCCTGCCGTATAGTCCCTGTCCGTTCTTTCAGAGATGCATTAGTTCAATAAAACTAAAGCATATCATAGGAATAGTATGAACAGAGGAAAGAAACAGGTAGTGGTTGTTTTATGACTCTGTTTTATAATTTTTTTTTTCTGCAGTTGAGTGAGAACAAAGTCACTGAGTCGTTAGAAATGCCTTTTTCCCCCATGCGTGAAGATCAGTTGGCAATTTGCCTTTTCTTATATATATATTTTTTATTTTCAGTGTATTGGTAATCTGCATTAATGGATGTAGACAGGAATATGTTATAGTTTATATTTATATAGGTTATGTTAAAAAAAAAAAGAAAATGAGTTTACTAGGACAATTATTACAAGGTTATGTACCAGAATAAATACTTTCACAAGGCTAATTTGCCACTGACCTATTTTGCCTTCTAAAGAAACTTATGGTAAATGCTTTGAACATTGGTGTGTCCTCTGCTCTTGTTGGTGCTTTGGCAAAGACCAACAGACCTTGACCAATTACTCCTTGCAACATTGACTGAGCATGTAGAACCCCCTGGCAGTTTATTGTTCACACTGTTTTTTGCCAAATGTGTGAAGGTTTGTTGGCCCTTCCCAGAGTGGAAAGTGCAAGGGCCGTGATAATTATGTTATGCGTTGGACTTTGTATTGTAGGCCAGCTCCCACAAATCTCAACAAATCCAAAGTTGTTTAGAAATCATCATAGTTCATTCTAGACATTTATGTTTAATTTTAACTTTTCATAAGATCTAATTTGGATCATTAGAGATTTATATACCCCAGCATCTCCCATAACCATACCAGTGTATATTCCTGTTACGTGGAGATTGTGTTCTGATTAATTAGATATTTTAGGGATACTATTTTGTCCACCACTCATTTTGCTGGCAAGGACTCTTAACCTGTCAGAGCTTCAGCATAAGCCAGTTTATTTTCTAGAAAAGAAGGAGTGCAGAAGTTCTAGTATTGTTCAACAATGTTTAAAATTCATGCTGACTAGGTAATAAGCCAAGCCATGAGGAGCAGAGCAGGGAAATACTCAAATAAGCATATTCATCTTTTTCCTTTGTGGCTTTGCCTACAGGATCACTTAACATATTGCTAGTTTCATATATCACTTGGCCATCCACCACAGGTCACAACAAATCCAAATGTAAATGTACTTGATGTAAATACATTGCCAATGTTAGTAGGTTGTGAGAATAAAACTGCAGTTTTGTTCTTCTTAATTCTGTTTTAGTTTTTGCTTATTGTATGTCTCTTGGATAACTTGATTCTTGTTTGACGGTTGACAGGTTTTATGGTTTCAATAGAACCCAGATGGGTAGATGACCGGACTAATTGATGGATGATTGGATGTGTGGATAGATAA